TTTAAGGAGTGTTGCTATTCATACAGAAATGAATGGTTTTGGACCTAAAGTTGTTTATTATGGAAAAGCATAAAATTAATTTGTAAGAACCGAATGGTAAAATAAATATAAAATGCATTAAAAACTGCTGTTTAAGATGAGTACTACAAGCACAGTGAATTACCTCAGGCATCCTGTTGTGTTGCGTAGAACTAGAGAAGTTTGGAATTTAATTTTATGATCATCATCAAAGGAAGAATTATTCCACCCAGAGTGAGGAACTATCACAGTGTTTGTTAGTGTTGCCAGAGCATCTCGAATGATTGTCATTTTAACTGCATCACATGAAGACAAGTTCCAGAGAACGCCTAAGGAAAAAGAAACAGCATATCATTTAATGGCAGCTTGTATATCTTAACCCACAATACCATGGGACTGGTAACAGCAACTTAAAAGTTTGGCACAATAAAACAAAAACAAATATGCTTCACAGCACAAAATAATAATAACTGGCCAGCGTAAGACCACAACAGAGCTTCTCTAGACATTTTTGGTTTTCCAACTTGGCACATGGAAGGTACTATTAACAAAGTGCTCTCAGTTAGAAATAATAATGCAAGAGGGAATCCAGCAGCTTTCCCCAACCTTGGGTCCTTGTCCTATTCCTCAATTATATTAATATGCCACCATTTTTCCTTTCAAGGAACTCAATGTGACACACTGGTGTTCCACTTCAATTCCCATCAACCCCAGTTTGCTAAAGGCAGGAAAAACTGGAGTTGTTGTCCAAGTCATTGGAGGACAGCAGGTTATGGAGAGTTACTCTTTAACAGGAAGGGGGAAGTTTGGTACCCTGTGAAGTATTAATGCAGATTCCAGATCGCTGGTGTACTGCAACTTACCAAGTTTCATTACAGTCAACTAATATAACCTAACACAGAATCCAGTGGATTTGTCACCTTAAACTTCAAGAGAAAGAAATCGATATTATCTATGATCAGATAAGCTAGGATTATTTATGCTGCAACACTGTATGTATATTCTGAAGTGTGTGAAATCAGCAGTAATCTGCCAAGATTGTTGAAATATATGAGACACAGTGACTTATGTGGCACTTTTGATACGGAGTATGTAATTAACAATAGACTTAGTCTTATATTGATCTGGTTACTTTCTAAATAACTAGAATGTAAACATAATCATCATGGATTTAACTTGCATGAAGTTACCAAATGATTGGTGCACACTATATATACTATATAGGAATTATAGCCTTTGCATGAAGAGAAAAAAGAGTTAGAAACTCTTCCTTGGTAAAGGAAAAAATGAAGAAAAGGGGGAAAGGGGAATATAGCTGCATGAAATGTATTTCAATTTGTACATCTCTATTGGAACTTTCCTTTTCTTCCTATAGCTTTACAGACAATATTCCAAATATTGGCTTGGGGGACTGTTCATGAAGCATGGGCTCAAGTGTTCCCTTGCCCCCTCCATTCTTGCACACAGCTGTCCCTCACAGTTGCCTCATTATCACTCACCATGTCCATGACATCTGAATCTACCAAACAGTTAGCAGTTGTCCTCCTGAACAGAATCAGAAATCTACTTCTCACCATGTCTTGCATCCAAAAGACCTCAAGCAGAACACAAGGAATGCTGCCTCTCTCATGTTTTGCCAATATTGCCTCAAATTTTTCAGGCAGGGAGGAAGAAGGGGAACACTGCTTGAAGTTCTTAGAATCTAAGGGCAATGTTCCTAATCATTCTAATTTGAAAGGCAAACATGATATAGTTTACCAACCCTGCATGCCACAACCAACTGTATTCATGGAAAGGAAAGCTTCATGCAAGTAGGGAGAGGAGGGAAGGCAATTTGGGAGCTCCCGAGTCCATGACTTATTTCCATTTTTCAAAATGTAGTTCTGAATCAAACATACATACAGCCTATATTTGGGTATGCCTATATTTATCCTGGTTCATACTCTCCAACTAAAACATACCTGCAATATTCCTTTTATTATATTTGGGGAAATGACCTTATGACAAGTGGTAACAAAATCTAATGTGGTCTATACCTCGTTAAAAAAAAAAAAAAATAGCACTTGAAGTTAATGTTTTGAAAAAAGACAGCCTACAATGAAATATCTTGTCATTTTCCTCACTCACTGTCATAATATGACCTAGTATATTGTCATCTGCCAAATGCTGGCTTATATGGAGAAGTAATGGGCAGTATCCAATGGGGTGTGACTGTTAACATGAATTATCTTGTAGTGAATCACTCTATAGCAATGGTATTAGCTTATATCCTACCTTTCCAGACATCAGTACACCAGATAGTGCTATTGTCATTGTGCTAGAGCAGATTATGTTAGCACAACATAATTAATGTTTGTATTTGCACCCTAACTATCCATTGTTGGCTACTGTCTATTATTTCTTCAAAGTAACCAACATTTACCAAATACGGCATAACAGTTCTATCTTGTTGAAAGGCACGGTTCTTCACTGATGTCTGCTAGCAAAAAAAAGGGTAGCATTCTGTGTTAGTTCCACATAAAGAAACCAACTGAAATGAATGAGACTCAGTTTAGTCACAACTAATTGTCCCATTCATTTCATGAAGTCTCTACATGGGACTAACAATGGATACTATCCAAAAGCCCCTGCATTTCCTAGGAGATAATAAAAGAGAACCCCAAACATTTTGCTACACGGTCTTCCCACTCAATTGCTATATATGCAGATATACTGGAACTACTAGTTAACTGTTACGTACTGTCAAGTTGTCTCTGATGTGAGGTGATGCTATGAATGAAAGTCCCCCAAAAGGTCCAATCCATGACATTTCTGCTTAGCTGTTCTAAATTCAAGGCTGTGGTTTCCTTTATGGATTCAAGCCATCTCTTTATTATTCTGCCTGAGTCTTTCCCTAGCATGACTGTCTTTTCCTGGTAGTTTTGCATTCTCATGGTGTGTCCAAAGTATGACCCCCTCAGTTTTGTCATTTTTGTTTTGAGGGAAAGTGGTTCTACGGTTTTATCATAAAACAGTAATTCTGAGGTATGAATTGCATTCAATTCTCAATAAGTTTATTCTGGTGTTCCAAAATAAAAACAATTGAATGTTTTGACAGTTTAATCCTTGTCAGTTAGGATGTGCACAGGTCCTTCATGATATCAAAGTTGAGGCAATAGCTACCCCCCCAAAAAAAGCTTTATCTCAATGAAGAAGAGCTTTTGCAGCCAACAGCAAGTGCCATTCCTTTATTTTTTTATTGGTTTGCATTTATATAAGGATTTTTTTTTGCAAACTAGTTAAACTCTCATATTTTTGCAAATCTATTGTACTAATTGGACACTTCATTCAAATCTCTATGGTAAGTACTCTATCATGACTTGTTTTACTGAATTATGTATTTATTTAAAAATGTTTATATATCATTCTTCATTTAAAAATCCTAAGACAGTTTACATGTTTTTAAAAAAGCAGTATCATTACAATGCCACAATTAAAAATTCCTTAGTGCCAGTACTTGATATAAAAATTAAAATACCAATTAACAATTAAAAAACTGGGTAAATTTAAAAAAGGTTTGGCCTGGTGCCAGAACAAATAAAGTGTGGGTGCCAGGCACACCTCTCTAAGGAGGGAGTCCCATAATCAGGACCCTACAGCAGAAAAGGCCCTCCTCCTATCATCCCTCCTCACCTCTTTCAAAGAGGGCTCTTAGAGGAGGACCTCTGCAGACGATCTTAAATTCTGGGCAGGCTCATATGCAAGGAGACGTTCCTTTAGACGTTCCTATATGTTTCACTATGTTTATGCATTCTGTGGTTTTAACTTTTATTTTATAACTCTCCAACTCAGAAAGTTTTGGTCACTGGACAATACAGAAATGTAGTAAGTTTAAAAAATCCAAAGTTTAACTTTGGTCACAGCAATATTAAAGCAGAGCATAAATCAGACAATATAAAAGCACACATTAAGATGGAATTATGCAAAGCCACTGCCAATACAATCAAGCAATTGCAAGTTGAAAAATTAATTTCAAAGTTCTGAAGGTGAAGCGTAAGAATATAATTTATCTTTGCTTTACAATACAGTGACTTAGTGTAGGTGTTCATTGCAACTACAAGTCTTGAATACAGATTTGAGAAAAAAAATCCATGCAGATTAGGTGTGCTTCAGTTCTGAATAACATGGTAATGAAGTGTTCACTTCTACCTTTCCTAAGCAATCCTATATTTAGATAACACTAGGTTCAGTAACAAATCTACGTCATTGTGTCACACAGAGCCTTTGTTTGCCAGTCCCTATAGATACACAGATATTTGTTTTAGCACATTTTCTTTACCGGAAATGGCATAGCTACAGTCACTCATTGACCTAATGGCATTAACATTTTGCAGAAAGAACTGGAGTGCCATTTACTATACCCACTGCTAAACATATCTGATGAGCAATTACATGAAGGTTAAAATTTCACCCATTTCCTTATTGAGGCAATCCATCAGTACATATTGAATAAACCAAGAATGTAGAAAGAACTGATTGATCAGAGCATATGCATGTTGAATGATTAGATAAGGCAGATCTTCTTATCATACTCATAGGCTCAGAAATAACAGTGTAAACCAAGGCAGCAATTATGCACATATTCATGCTGTGTTCCTCCAGAAAATGTTATGTGACTTAGGGCCCTGTCCTATAATTGTTTAGACAGAAAAATGCCCTACTTTGCCCAGTGTGCTGCTCACAATCTATTACTGTGTTTAGCAGTAAGAAAGTAATTATATATAGCATTATTTAGCACCATCTCAAGATTCTCTGAGGAAAACTTGGAAAAGTTCAAATGAATACATGGAAAGAAGCTTTAAAGTCGGCTTCAACGGGTGGAATTCAGTGAAGTGCTTCAATCAGTGGAATGCTGAGAAGACCATTTCCTTCCCCCCACCCTTGCAACCCTCCATACACTTTCCAAAGGCAATTTTGGGCAGTGTGCTGAAGAATATGAAGAGGGTTGGCTTATGTGGTGCTGCATTTCATTCAACATCTCTACATATCAGACCGAGGCCTTATTTATATGTGATACAAGACGTGAGTTAAAAAAGCAAAATCAAAAAATGCTCTGGAGGCTTCCATGTCTTCAGGGTCACGTGTCTACTGTTTCTCCTTGCCCCCATGTGCACATAAGGGATTCCTGGCTCAGGAATCATGATGGAAAGAGAATGTAATTAAGGAGTCAGACAATGGGCTCGGACATGCAACTAGGCACATAGGATTCTGCCTGGCTGCTTTTGTTTGTTTGTTTGTTTGTTTACATATGCCTCACCATCATATTTAGATTGTGTTAGAAGGGAAAATATATTACTGCTATTCTGTGAACTTTTGTACAAATGCCAATGGAAGATTTTCTTTAGTGCAATGCCACAATACATCAGGGGTTGTATTATAGTATAAGAAAAAGTCAAGAAGATGCAGGTCCTGACAGAAACTTGAGCACAGTCTTATACAGAAGTTTACACAAAAGAAAGAAATTATTTGGAAATGCCTTTTCTAACACTATGCTCCTTCTTTAAATCAGAAACAGCCCCTCTGTAAATAGAAAAGGTTTTTTTGTTAGTGTACAAACAAAGTACTTGGATCCAAGCCTTCACTGGAATATATTGTACCTCAGGAGTCTTTGGGGAAGAATGTTCTGTATGGCTCCCAGTATCTCTCCCACCCATATGATGTGTATCTATTACAATGTTGCTCCATTTTATTTCATAGCAATATGAAAAGGTTTGTTTTCTTTTGCAAGTGATCTTTGTCTATTCCTTACATCTATTCCTAAGATGTACATTTCTAATGGTTAAAGTAAGCTTTTGCTAAAATCGTCGTCGCCGTCATCACTGTCATTATTCTGAAACACTGGAAAGCTCATGCCTTTCCAAACATAAAAACAGGGTTTCCGATTGTGTGCAATAACGACATCTGAGAAATGAGAGTTATAATCTGATACTTTTTTAGACTATTTCATTGAGTAATTCTGCATTCTTTTCTTCTTTTTCCTTCTTTTGTCCAACCTCATACAATTTTCTTTTAAAACACACCAAATCAAGGTTAAGCTTTGACAGTTAGTGGAAGCCTGATATGCTTATAATAACATAATATTTAAGGTTAACTTGTATAGTCGTATCTTCATTCCCACTTAAAAATATTTTTTTAAAACAAAATGTGTTCTTTTACTTCTCTTTTTCCTTTTGCTAGTTCAAGAGAATGTTAAGCCCACAGTAAAAGAAAGGCATGAGACAAGATTCTTGACAGCATTTTTGTACCTATTCCTCATAGAATTTTCTATCAAGAAATCAAAGGCTCAGAGCATGTGGGATCCATTTTAAAACGTCATTTAATGGTGGCATCAAACAGAATTTACAGCAGTGATCACCCTTGGCTTTTTCTTATATATACTGCATGTTACTAATAAAATGCCATAATGGCGTATGTGCTTTCATACTGTTCTGGTGGCTGCGCTCTACATGCAAAAAGACAATTGGCACAATCCAGAGAAAAATGAAGCACGTGTAATTCTCCTTGAAATCAATGCTTAAGAAGTTAACGTTGTTAAGAAGTTATATCCCACTGATTTCATGACGTGTGCATGAACATCTTGTTCTAAGGTAATATTCTTCCCTACCTGCAATACTGAAACCGAGAGTAAACAATCACTTTATGATTCTACTGTATGGTTCATATCTCAGACATAAAATATCAATCGTTTTAACTTTTAAAAACCTATTAAGTTTGGGTTTGAAGGCTCTTCTGAAGAAGCCATCCTCCAAGGAAGTAAGGGGGATGACTAACAGAAGAGGGACCTGCTCACTGGTTGCATCCCATCTATGCAATGCCCTCCCAAGAGCAGTTGCCTGGCACATTCTTTACCATCTTTTTGGCACCAGGAAAAAACATTATTGCTCCAGACATTTTAACATTTAATGGAATTAAATTTTACGGAGTCCTAGAATTTTAGCTTATATTGTTTTAACTTCTTATGTTACCATTTAATTCTCAGCTGTATATTGCTGTCCACTGTATTGCTGTGCATTGTGTTTATTGTTATGTTTTTAATACTGGCTTCTGGTAATATTATATATATTACTGTTTTATTGTAATTTCACTGGTATGTATGTTCTGATTTTATTTGCTCTGTAATCTGCCTAGAAAGTCCTGTTAGACTAATTGGTTGCAGAATATAAATTTAATAAAATAAAATAAAATATCAAAAACATTTAGCTAAATAGTGTATTCCTACAGTACTAATATCCAAAACAAAGATTTCCTTAAAATCATTCTCATGAATGTGAAAGTGCTGATGACATACAGTGCCTGGGGAGAAAGTTCACCCCCCTTGACTTTTCCAGTGTTGTTATCTTCCAACCTGGAATTAAAACAGATTTAACTGGCATTGTTAGCAAATGACATATACAAAATATTCAATACTATCAAGGTCCAAAATATTTTTATGGTGGGACAAAGTTGAGTAAGCAAAAATAAATTGGCACTTGGTCATTGCATAAATATTTATTTCCTGAGTCCATACTCAGTATTTATTTATTATTTATTAGATTTCTATCCCACCCATTAGCCAAAATTGCTCTCTTGGTAGGAGTACCTTTGGGAATAATTACAGCTGTGAGTCTTCTTGGGTAAATATCAGCATTCCACATTTGATCCTACAATATTTGCCCATCCTTCTGGACAACATATGATCCCCATAGCAGCCAGTATGCTCCCATTTTTTTAAGGAAGGAAATGTTGCAGTTTGATATTGTAATTAAGTAGCCAGCTGTAATGGAGGCTTAAAATGGGCAAACAATTTGCTCCTTTTTGTGACAAGGAGAAGTGGCAGAGGGAACATGGTCCACACTGGAAGAACTTCCCTTGGAACACTTGAAGTTGTTTATCCCTGCTATATATCTAGGATCTCATTAAATTAAATTGGACCTATATCTGAATAGACATGTATAGTTACGTACTTCTAGTTATCTTTTCAATTAAACAATGCTTTCAAATTAAACCTCTTCATACACACAGAACCACATTTTAACTTGCTACAAGCCATTTACTCCCTAGCTATTCAAACTTTACCTGTGACAAGTTCTCTTACTTCTGCATCAATTGACTTTCTTAGCAATCGTAAAAGTGCAGGTATCCCACCAACGTTTTTCATTGCTATTTTATTTTCATCTGTAGACTTTCCATAAACCAGGTTCCGCAATGCACCACAAGCATTCTTTTGAACTTCAAGGACCCTGTGATCCAACAGGTCAACCAGATGTTTGATCCCTCCCAACCTACATACCTAGGAAAATATGATGAATAATGAAATCAGTTTCTGTTAACAGTTGATGCATAAAAAAGTTCAAATAAGCAATGAAATAAGATGGTTTTCTCATGGGTGCTTGATGAATCAGGTTATCATGTCTGCCTACTAAATGTCTTAGAATTCTGGAGGGACATACTTCCAATTTGTGGAAAGTAGAGTGTTGTTCATATTTTTCCTAAACTTCCTACTTTTGATGAAAATGAACAGCTTACAGATTTATAGGAATGCAAAAAATGTAAATTTTAGTGAAAAGCCATTAATTCTAAACAGGGATGGCTTTATCCCAATAACCCCAATAACATAAAAATCTTTCTTTTTTCCTCATACAATCACATTCACTAAGATGAATGCACATATACACATGTGATGTTTGATTCATTTAGGATGCAGTCCTATGAATTGTGCGCTTGATGACTGTAAGGCCCTGACTTTGAAGGCGATAATCAATTCAGGGCAGGAGGAGTGATAGCAGTGATCTTCCACTCCTCTTCTTCCTGACCTGCATTTTTTTGCTAGATAGGCTTTTTTGGCTAATCGAGCAAAGGTGTTTCAGGTGCGAGGGGGTTGGAGGGACCTCAGAATACCTCATATTCTGACCTCTCCAGTCTTCTCCACTCCCACTGAAACACCCCCTTTCCTTCCTCCAAGAATATGAATGGCCATCCAGTGTATTTCTTTCTACTCCAGCTGCAAAGGGGAGGTGTCTTCAACATACTCTTCTGAAGTCAGAGGGCTGTCTCTGACCTTGGAGTGGGGGAATGCAAGCACTGTCTCACACACAGTATAAAGGCCATAGAATTGCCCCCTTATTCATATTTACAGGGAGGCTTTTATCCCACAGTTTGGTTATATTGTTCAAGGAAGCTCAAAAAAGGAACAAATCAAAATCCAAGCAATCTAAGAATTGAAACAAGAGAAAATAAACCAACAATTGAAACATGACAGAGGGAAGTAAATGAAATTACCTTAAACAATAACAATATTTATCCATACTTAATGCTTGCTTTGTGATGTGGCATTCTCTCCATAAAAAGGGAACTTTAACCAGCGCCCTTTCTGCATACCAAAATACAATTGCTTTTCTTGGTGCAGTATGTGCTAGATCAGGCTCTTCCCTCTCTTTGCCCTCTTAGCTGTAATGAGGGGAGGTTCTGGGACTTCTCCACTGAACCTCAATTGCATCCTCTCTCTATTTATGTTGTTTATTGCCAGTCATGAAAACTCCTACTATCATTACTCTCTTTGCCCGTTCAGTCTCCACAACTGTCATCCTTCAATTATATCATATTTTATCTCCTTTCAACCTCATCTGCCCTGACTCTGGCCATTCCTTCCTCTCTTTCTCTCCTCATAAGAAAAGCCATGCTGGATCAGACAACAGGTATGTCTTGTCCAGCACTCCATACACACGGTGGCAAACCAGCTGCCCACAGGATCCCTTGAGCAGGATGGGTGCAAGACCCCCTCCTGCCCAAGTTCCTCATCAACTAGTGCCTGCAGGCATGCCCCCTCTGGGAAAGGAGGTAGCTCATAGCCTACAAGGGAGAGCTGGAACCTTATTAAATGTTTCACTACTGTCAGAGAAGGCCACTGACAGCCTTCTCCCTTATGAATCAGTCCGTGCTTCCTCTTGTCTTCATTTTTTCTCTCTTCTTGCCTCAAGCAGCCCAACTGGAATGGAATTTTCTGCCCTGATATTCTGGTTTGCTGTAGCTTTTCTTCAGTCCTGAGTTCACCCCAGGGCACCCATCTCTAAAGTGGGTATCCTGACTTTCAGGCAGCCTGCACCATCAATCACTGCAACTGGGATGGGCAGTCAGCACAGTGAACCTCGGCTTTTATTAAGGGTCCTAAGAAAGTAGTGAAACATTTAATAAGGTTCCAACCCTACTTTGTTTTCACCCCTTTCTTAATGTGACAAATATGCCATTCCAGCCATGCAAAAACAATAGAGTAATCAATAGTAATCAATGTTTAGAGGGAATTATTAAGATTTCTTGGTTGCTGCCCTAGTTTGGAGGAAGGTTCCCTCTTCATTACACCTAGACTTTAACAAGTTTCTTCACCCTGAGTTGATTTCCCTCCATCTTTTTATCTGAAGACACATTTTTGTAATATAAACTAGCCAGCAAAAACTTTCTGGTGGTTTAACTGAAGAAGTCTTTGGCTCCTGAGAAATGTGCAACATTTTCATTTCTAGTAAGAGGCTCAATATTTTCCATTTCATACTGTAGAAAATACAGCAAAGTTATACAGAATGGACAAACTTGGTAACTTTTGTTTAAGTTCTATGAGAAATTTTAAACATGTAAAAAGGAAGTTGTAAAAACATGTTGTTAAATTATATAACATTTTTATTGTCTCTACAGTAAAGCCTAAATGTCTTAATAGGTATGTGCAATATATTTGCAATAATAGTCACAGTTAACAATTACCAATTTGATTCAAACTATAAAATTAAATAGCTCATTCTAACAGTTCTGAAATGTTCTTTACTGAACCTTTTCAATAAGAAACCATACCTCGGTTTTTACTTTGTTATCCCCAAAGCACAGGTGCTGAAGGTAGGCTGCAGCATTGGCTTGAACTGATGGGAACTGATGCTGAAGCATGTGAATGACCTCAGGCAATTCGGGATCCCGCCATGCAAATTCTCTGCATTAGGCAAGTGGAATTTATTTATTATATTTACTAATCACTGATAATCAAGGCACCCCCATATTTAAGGTGCACTTTTGTGTTACATCACATAAATGTGTACAGATAAATACATTTTCATCCTAGAATGAGTTAACCAGTTTAGAACTGAAACTATTTTACAAATATTTGTAACTAAATTGAAAAGAACAAAAGCAAATTTTATCCCTATGATAAAAAATTAAAATGGAAGTAATGGGAAGCACTTTTGAATAATTTCACTGTTAACAACTTTGTGCAGTTTGTTAAAATATAGGTATACTTGCCTTGGATCTTTCTGGATACTGTCTATGGAAGGAGATCTTGTTGTACCATCATCTGCAGGGGCTGCATGTTGCATCCTATTGTAACTGGACTCTGAGAGTCGGTAATGCAATGATCTGTAGGGTTCTGCGTAGGTAGCTGTTGTGTTCAGAGCATAATTGTTTCTTTGGTATGCAAGCGTGCTACGCTGACTGGATGATCTTTGTAGATTTCCAGCACCTGCTATACAACATATATATTAAGAAATGCTCATTGGGTGTTTGTCTTTAATGCACAGAGTAACAACACATGTTCTTCTTATCTGACTTTAACCCTGTGCTACCAAAACACAAAATTGATGGAAAATATTTTGGTAGTATTGGAAGATGCTTCTGTTTAGGCTGCTGTGGCAGACTGGTTAATCCAACAAAGGACTGAGCTTATGATTCCAGGAGAAGCTTTCTATATTTTATTAAATATGGCTCTTAAAAAGGAAGGGAAAATTGAATTGCTCTCTTTAAATGTTAATGGACTAAATGGACCATCTAAGAGAAGAAGGATTTTTGCTCAACTTCAAAAATGAAAATTAAATATAATTTGTCTACAAGAAACACATATTAAGAAACAATATGTTAAACTTCTGGAATGTTCAAAACTGGGAAAATTGTTTGTTTCTTCTGCATCACAAAAGAAAAGAGGTTTAGCATTGTATGGTAAAGAAAAATTGGACCCTAAATATATTCTTGCTGATGAGGATGGTAGGATCTTGATGGTAGAAATTATAATTAAACTTAAAAAGGTGCTCTTAGTGGCAATATATGCACCAAATGACCATCAGGAAACGTTTTACCAAAAAGTACATATGTTACTTTTACAAGTAGACTATCAGTCTGTGTGTGTAATGGGCGATTTTAATGCAATTGTGAATAAGGGAATCGAGTACAAGAGTGAAAGTAAGGGAAAAAAGGGTAGGAGGATGCTTCCAAAGTCTTGTTCCAACTTGATTGAAGAATTCAGATTGATAGATGCCTGGAGGCATAAAAACCCATCTTCAGCCAATTATTCTTTTTACTCAAACAGACATAGGTCATGGTCTAGAACTGATATGGTTTGGATAACTCCAGACTTAATGCCAGGTCTGATAGAAGCTGAAATGGAGGCAAATGTCTGGGCGGATCATAATCCTGTATTTATATCATTGAAAGGAGCTGCAAGGACGCCCAGATGGAGTCTAGATAAAGCATTACTAAAAGATAAAAAATTTGTAGAGGAGATAAGCAAAGAGATGCAAATATTTTTTCAAATAAACAAAGCGGAAGAAACTTCTTTACAGAATGTCTGGGATACAGCTAAAGCCTATGTCAGGGGACTGATAGTAACCTACTCAGCAAAAATAAAGAAAAAGAAAAAGCAAGAGCGAGTAACATTAGTAGAAAAATTGAGGAAACGGGAACAAGAACTGCAGGCGGATCCAACAAAAAGAAATCTTAGGGTCCAAATGAATACTTTAAAGCACAAATTGAATCTCTTGGATACAAATGAACTTACTAAGCAAATGAAACTGGCTAAACAGATTTTTTTTTGAAAATGCTAATAAAATGGGGAGATGGCTAGCATATAAAGTAAAAAAAGAAAGAGAGAAGAGATTGATTTCGAAACTGAAAGATGGAGAAGGACGACTACAGGTACAAAATACACGAATTAAGAAAATAGCTGAAGATTTTTTTTGCAAGGCTATACCGGAAGGAGGAGTTTTCAATTGAGAAGGTAAAAGAATACATTTGAAAGGGAGATTTACCAAAACTACCAGAAAAGTATCAAAAAATATTGAATCAAGAAGTAACAACTATGGAAATAACAGAGGCAATCATGCGACAAAAGAACGATAAAACCCCTGGTCCGGATGGGCTACCAGCTGAATTTTACAAATCTTTTGAGGGAGTTTTTGCTACGTTGCTCAAAGATATATGTAATGAAGCATTGTTAAATGCTAAAATACCAGATACCTGGACAGAGGCAAATATTACATTAATACCGAAAGAAGATATGGACTTAACACGGATTCAAAATTACAGACCTATATCATTACTAAATGTGGATTATAAAATTTTTGCCTCTATATTGGCAGAAAGGTTGAAGAAGTTTTTAATAGACTTTATTCATCCAGACCAAAATGATTTCCTGCCTAAAAGACAAATGAAGAACAATCTGAGGGCTATCTTGGATATTCTAGAATACTACGAGACACACACGGAAAAATCAATGGCTCTACTGTTTTTAGATGCCCAGAAAGCCTTTGATAATGTTAATTGGCAATTCATGATGCAACACAAAGACCAAATGGAGTTTGGGGGAAAATTTATGAATGCGATATCAAGCATCTATCAAAGACAATTGGCCAGGATTTTAATTAATGAAGAATGTACAAGGGCTATAGAGATACAAAAGGGTACAAGGCAGGGATGCCCGTTGTCACCCCTATTGGTCATCCTGACTTTAGAGGTTTTGAATAGAAATATTAGGGATGACGAGGACTTTAAAGGTACTAAAATTAGGGATGAAAAGTATAAATTGCAAGCATTCGCAGATGATTTGGTCTTTATAATAGAGGAACCTTTTGTAACAATCCCTAAACTTTTACAACGGATTGAAGAATATGGTGAGGTTACGGGGATGAAAATAAATAAAGAAAAAACGAAACTATTAGTTAAAAATCTTACGCAAGATCAGAAAAAAAGACTCCAAGAACAACTGGACTTGCAGATTGTTAAAAAGGTTAAATACTTGGGAATCTATCTTACAGCTAAATGCACAACTTTGAAAGAAGACAATTACGATAAATTATTGAAAGATATTAAAGGTGATCTGGAAAGATGGACCAATTTACAATTGTCTTTGGTGGGAAGAATACCGCTGGTTAAAATGAACATACTACCAACATTTTTGTTTTTGTTCCAAATGATCTCCGTAAAATTTGATAAAAATTTTGAGGATTTAAATTTTCAAATGTTGAGATTTATTTGGAGAAAAAAGCAAGGATTAAACAAAAAGTGCTTCAGGAAACCAAAAAGAATGGGGTTTTTGGGTTACTGGATTGGATGTTGTACTATCAAGCGTCTATTTTAACGTGGATAAAAGAATGGATAACCTTGCGAAATAAGAGAATTTTGTATCTTGAAGGACATGATTTGCAAATGGGTTGGCATGCTTATACGTGGTACGAGAAGGTTAAGTCTCATGGGACTTTTTAAAGTCACTTTATTAGAAGATCATTAATGTCAGTGTAGGAAAAGTTAAAGTCAAAATTGTATAAGTTACCAAGATGGCTTTCACCTATGGAAGCTTTTGTGTATCCAAATGTATTGAATTTTGAAGGGATCATAAGATACGATGATATTTTGGATAAGGATGGAGGCCTGAAACTAGATCAAGAAATACAAGAACAGGGATTCAATGTCTCTTGGTGGTATAAGGTGCAGATGCAATCAAGTATGCTACAGTTTGTAAAATATGGGGGTTTTATAAAGACCTAACAGCCTTTGATCAAGTGATGTTAAAAACAGATGAGAAAATTATTAAAAGAATTTATGAGTTCTTACTTGACAGGAAAATGGAAGGGGAACAGGTTAAGGAAACTATGGTAACATGGGCACACAATTTTGGATATAATATTGAATTAGAAAAGTGGCAAAAGCTATGGGAAAGAAATATTAAGGTAACTTTAGCAACCTTGTATAAAGAAAATTTATATAAAATGTTTTATAGATGGTATTTGTCACCAAATCAATTAGCTAAGATGTTTCCAAATATGTCAAACAGATGTTGGAATGTAAACATGATGTGCATACTTTTTACCATATGTGGTGGACTTGTGAATATGTGAAAAAGTATTGGATTAAAATACATAAATGGCTTGAGGAAATGCTACAAAAACCCTTAGCTTTTAAACCTGAAATTTTCTTGTTAGGCATTGTACTGGAAAATATTAGCAAACAAGAAATGTATTTGATACTACATTTAATCACAGCGGCGAGGATTGCGCTAGCTCAATACTGGAAGAGTGAGGAACTACCCACTGAGGAACTGATTTTAAAAAAGATTCTGGATTGTGCAGAAATAGACAGATTGACTCTATTATTGAAGGAGAAGGAAGATAGTGACTTCTATCAAACTTGGGACCTTTTCTACGATTGGCTGGAGAAACGGGACTTGGCTTAGATTTAAAGATGTCTTTAAATTTTTATAAATCGATTTGAATATGATTATAGAATGTTTAAAAGATATGTTATAGGGGGCTGACCCAGTACATCTGATGTATTTGATGACTGATCATTGTTTAGTTTTTAGTTTAAAATCTTAATAAAAATGTGCAAAAAAAAAAAGAAAAAAAAGAAGCTTCTCTTAGTGATGTGCCATAGAGGCACTATTGGGGAATGGCTACATGTTCTCTATCATCAAGGCCTCCTAATTCTCTTCTTCACATTATCTTCATCAAAGCCCTTTGTGGTAGGATGGGTTGAGACTTAGTTACTGGCCCAAAGTCAGCAAGTGAGCGTCAAGGTACTAGAAACTGAATCATCTAAGTCCCAGTCTAAATATTCTAACCATTACACAACATACTATGAATGTTTACCTGAGTGAACCATTTCTTAATGAAATTTAAAAGCGTCTTTGCAATTCCATATAATTGCAAATAACACAGAGAATAAGAAAACACACATTTTTATTTAGAGCATTTTGAAACAAAGATAATAATATGAGTGCTCTGCAAATGAACTGGGCTACAAAGTTCCATAAGAATCTAACATATCTGATATCCAGCTCAATATCCATTGCATTTAGCACTTTGGTACAGATAACTTTGTACATCACCTTCATGCATTTTATTAGTATTTAACATTAACCATAGGATAATTCCTATATACCTGTAATTGATTTAGGTTCTGGTGTATATATTCTGGGATTAAAAGAGTACCAGAAAGAAACCTCAGCTTCATATTTACCTGATCCAGTTCGATATAATGCTGTCTGGGAACCTTGGTATGCATCACTTGTTCCATGACTTGGACTGTGGTACACTGGACTATAATAGGTTCTGCCTTCATATATGGGAGTAATGTGAAGATCAGGAGATACAGTTGACCGCAGCTCTTGACCAAGCTGGCTGTGTTGACTAGCATATGAACTCCTCAAGCCTAGAGGAAAAAGGGAAAAGTAAGTATGAAGCAATAAAAATACATGAAATTTAGTCTTTGCTTTTATAATTAGAAACCTTTAGGCTGCAATGATGGACATAGTTCTCCAACACATATGCATACTCTCTCTTTCAATACTGTCTAAAATTTTATTAGGGCAAACATTAATCTGTATGCTAATCTATATTGTCAAATAAGAGATTTATTAAGAAATCAATGACATTTTTAAAAATGTATTTTCTTTTGCTTAAATATGGTTTGATTTACACCTGATCTGAGCAAGAGCATGTCAAATGAGTTAAACTATGCCAAATAATTTTGGTACCTACGAAGTATCACTGTAGTTTCTATAACTAAAATTTTCAGGTAGGTTTCTGTTGGTGCATATTCTATTGCAGAGTCATAGTCTGGATCCAGACTTTGGCCTCTGTGAGCATTTTGATATGGCACACATCTTATCTAGTGGTACATTCCCTCTGCTAGAGCGGGAGAAAATATGTAATTTTTCAAGAATTCACTTTCTCTATAGTCTGATTGCCTTCTTCCACAGATCATCTTGGAAGTTCGGGAACCTTCCAGGACATGTGATATGGCACTGGAAGCTGCAGGATTTGGGGGAAATAGTGAAGAATGCTCTGCCCCTTCTTGCCAGCCAAGGTGTCCCGAGTGGATTGTATTCAGGAAGTACTCTTCGTACCATTAGCAACCCCTGGGTTCAATAACATGGGTACTATCTCAAGTATCTAGAATTTTTCCTAATGTGGAAATGTTTGCATAACATGCTCAGAGATCTTCAGACAGAGACCTTGATATTTTAGGAACTTAGTTGCAACATTTCACCAAATTTTAAGACAGAATAGTATTTGCAAATTAAAACAGGGTCATTCTACCAATATTTAGTCTGCTAAATTTCATGGACAATATTCAGTGGAATCATTCTGGTAGCATTCTAACATCATGTAGTAGAAACTAGGTTCCAAACTAAACACAAGAGGAAAATCTGACAAAGATTACATTTGCACAAGTGGGACTGCACAAGCAATTGTTCATTACACTTGCACAACACATTATGCAACTTTGTTGTACAACCCATTGTGTACTTTCCTTGTATACCTGCTCACACAACTGGTTAAACAAGCACAAAGCACTGCTTCCTGTCTGGCAATTTTGCAGGACACTGATAGGTACTGCCCCAGGATTTTTGTCTTGGAACTACAGAGGGCCACTTCTGACAGCTAAATTAGTATTACTAGGGCTAAATTTCTAACTCAACATAGGACTTGTAGATCCTTTGGCTTCTAATTCAGGAAGTACAACTCACATGGCCACCAGCAAGAACCAATGCTGCTGAGTGTGTTCAAGAATATATTTTCCTGTTAAGGCAGAGGTCACCAACCTTTTGAGGTATGTGGGCATATCCGGAATTTTGGGTGTGCATTTGGGCATTCTCAAAAAATACCCCACTTGTCCCTTCATAAAATGGCTACCACAGTGGGCACAGCCAGTTCAAAGCAAAACTGGTGAGACCAAAAGAAACATAACCTGTCCCAAAACCAAAGGAAAAGGTGGGGCCTGAGTTTGAGGAATTTTATTAAGGATGTGCTGGAGGGCAGAATTTCACTTTGAAGTAGTGTCAGCCTTATATTTATTTTTTTAATTGCTTAAGAAAGTAAGGAAAAAACAGAAGAGAAGGATCTGGATGGGTGCCAAGAGAGGATCCTGCTGACTCACCTTGTGCCCATGGTACTACACATGAGGCTCCAAAGTTAAGGCATGGCTTAGCCACAGTTCATCTGTTTCTCATACCCCCTCAATTCTCTTTGTTTTTGTGCTTAAGAAAGGGGTGAAAGAATGTGCATGGATGTGACTAATTAAATTCTTTTTTCCCCCAATCTCAATTTTTTCTTGTGAGTGCTTGAAAAGACAAAAATGTTGGGCTTTGGGTTTTTTTCTTTTTTTGAGCACCCACCAGCACAGCTCTCAAATTGAATGAGAACTACCTTTTTCTTATTTAACATATGGTAATCAGGATTTTAAGGATACCTTGAATAAACTGGAAATCTTCCCCATCTCCTCCCAATTTTTACAACCTTGCAGTGGCTTTCCGGGGTTCAATGAGTGAAACATACTTTAGTGTGTTTTTATGTATCTTACAATAATTTGGCAAGATGCTGAAGTTTTCAAATCAATTTCTCCTTATGATTTAGAATCTTATTTTCAGCTTTTAGTTATCCTATCTTTTGTTTTTTATCTAAAGAGAAAAAAATTCCAATTTAATCCTTCCCTTGTAGAGCAGCTCATCTTTAGCCCTAATGATTTTTGTGCTCTTTTCCCAGTCTTTTCTTCATCCCATTTTCTTTGTTAAAAAGTGGCAGCCAGAATTGTGTGCAGTGTTCAAGTTGACAGAGCATTAAGATATTTTAAAGTCCCTGAGCTACAGATTGTTAAAGTTCTGTTTGTTCTATGGGGGCAATTCTGTCCTTGGGCAGTGATTTTTGTATTGATTTAAAATAATAGACCCACAAAAATATGTCATACTAAGCAATGTGGACAGGCAATGTACATTCTACACCGGAATATACACCTCATTTACTCTGGTCTTATTTCTATGTGGGCAGAAGTGGATTTAGAGAATGTGCACATGTCCCCTATGACAAATTCTTCTCCCTCCAGAAATTTTTATGATATGAGGAGCAATCTCAACTACTTGGCAGAGTCTCTTTATGTGAGGAGTTCTGTGAAACTGGCAAGAAGGTCAGAGGCAGCAGGATGTGTATTAACTTCAGTTTAATTCCCAGCTCCTGAAAAATATATTCTGCTACTTGAATACTCTCTGTGGTCAGGGTTGTATGGCACAGTTTGGGGTTTACGCACTCAGCTCTCAACTTCTCATGGCATTTTTTGTTTAGTTTACTGGAGGCATGTTAGAAGCTGCTCTTGTTAAACAAACAAACAATTTTCTTCCATCCTTCAGGAAACCTTTGGTATGCAGAAAAATCTCTCCTAATTTGGACTTTCCCGTTTTCTTGTCTGGCACCTACACACGTTGAACAACCTTTTTGAGGTACAATGACTGATTGAAAGAATCGCAGGTATAATGGGTAGTTGTGAACCTCCCAGAAAGCTTGCCTATTGGACAATACAGAAATTACACTAACAACAACAGAGGAAGAGGTCTAACACCTAGTCGCAATAGTCTCTAGATTTCATTTGCTATGATGCTGCAGATCAGGCTCATAATGAGTACACAATCTATGAACGACAGGATGATCCCTTTCTTTCTTGTAGGTCTATACCAATTCTTGCAGGCATGATGTGAGTCTGCCAGGCAGTTGTCAATTGTTCAAACTGCAAAAAGATTTGTGCTTACTTAGCCTCTAACAAAATTCCTACCATCTCTGTTTTAACTCTTACAAGTCAGCATCTGAGCTAATGGTGGTATTGGGCTCAAGAGGCATGTGTCCTTTCACTGGTAAGTCACTGATCTGCAAATGTCTGAAGATCTTACTGGAACCAAGGGAAGAATTGTCAAGAGATCTGGAGTAGTATCATCAATATGTGGATGACTCCTAACTCAACTTTCTCTTTCATCTAATCTAAGTGAAATGGTGGATTTTTGGAACAGATATCTGGATGAAGCTAGCAATCTAAGGCTGAAGTCAGACAAAATAGGCACATTCGAATACAAAGAGTGGATCATGGGAGTAGATATTCAACTTGTTCTGGATGGAGTTGCACTCCAGCTTAAAGATCAAATTTTCCACACAGGGATGCTCCTTGATCCCAGCACTGCTGCTGGATGTCTAGGGGTATTTGTAACTCGGAGTGACACTTTCCAACTTTGATTGTTATGATGCAGGTGACCTGCATAGAACAGATTAAGTAGGCCATGATCATGCCTTAGCACAGGAATGGGCAGAAACCATATCTCCAAATACTTTGGACTTCAACTGGCAGCATGCCTGACCACTGGTCATGCTGGCAAGAGTTTCTGGGAATTAGAGACCAAAATATCTGTTGCAACTTCTGCCCACTGCAGGCCCAATTACTACAATCCATTATGCATAGGACTGCCTTTGAAAAATGTTTGGACATTTCACTGGTTCAAAGTAAAGCAGGTGGACTTTTGATAGGACTCATCTTTGTGAGCATGTATCAGTTCTTAAAGAATTTATAGCTTGCTGTCTGTTTCTGGGCACAATATACTCTGCTGAATATAAGCTGCTTTTAAGGCAGCATGTAAGTTTTTTAGACAGATAAATGCAAACATCCTACACAAAGGCATGCTTTCCCACAAGTTAGTTTATAACTACAGCCATAAAAGCATCCAAATAATAGTATAATCTTTTGTTAATTAAAAAAGTAGATTTTCAGTGTTATGTATTTTGACATAAATCATAATGGTTGTTATAATGAAGAAACTCTTTGTTTAGATAAATGTTCTACACAGACATACATACAAGCTTTTTAAACTGGGTGGATGTAAGAGGAAATGCATCTGATTGCAAATCTTGGGACTGGTAGATCAAATTTCAGTGCTTTTTCTTTGCTGTATTAAAATGTGACCATGAATAAATAACAACATGGGTTCAGAATGTTACATCCTAAGAGTTCCACCTGTTGCTCCTAATTGTTCCTTAATATTTTTGTGTTTCAGATGTTCCCATGATTGACCTTATGGTAGTTTTTTCAGCACAACTGTGTAACAAATGCTATGCTTGTGCAATGGCACAAAACCTCATGTTGTGTTAGCATGGCAGGCTAATATATTGATGCATGTGTTTAGGACTAAGAGTTTGGAAGGTTTAGGGTTACCAAAACTAAAAAAAGAAAAAGAAATGATTGGGAAGCTACCCATGTTTGGATGTTCCACAAACCTCTGTAATGTCTTAAAGCAATATATTTCATCACCCTTTAGACTGACATCTAAACTCTTGCTGATAAGATCCTTCCAGGAAGGTCATTAGGACAAATATGTCCCTGTGCTATATTAGCAATATAGCTAGCACTGTTCAAATATCCCTGGTACAACACATAAGGTCTTTATTTTCTTAATATTTCTACATACACTTGCTACATTTGACAGAAGTAAGAACTTGCTTACAAAGAAGTAGGTATATTATCTTGTTTTCTTTTTGCTTCCCCCAGATTATAGCTGGCTGGTCACAGTCCACCTGGGCTATAAAAACTTGAAATAGGAGGAAGGCTCTATAGCATTCATGATTCGTAGTTTGTTCTCAGATATGAACCTTTCAAGTATTGTACAGAGGAAGTCAGAAATGCATAAATTACAGCAATTACATACAATGTGTAAACAAATAGGTAGTTTAATATACTTTAACTCCATTACCTGCTTTTTCTTTAAATACATGAGCAATTTTGACAGGGATATTTATGGTGTTCTTTACAAGTTGAACTATAGCTTAACACTGATTCCAAAGTGCATATGAGCAAGTTTAACAAAAGAAATGATTAATGTGTGTCAAGTTAGTATTTTACTTACACACACAATTATAGGTCACAATCCAGAGAAAGTTGCTTATGTTGATGCCCCAGCAGTCTTATAAGAAAACTGAACACGTCATAGTACTCCACCCAGAAATTTCTATGAGCTTTGATCTCTCTCTCTCTCTTGCACACCTTTAATTCCATTCTCAAATGGAATTAAAAAATCATTTCAATGGAAAATCTTTACACATTTACACATTCCTTTGAGGGTGAAGTGGATTCTTCTATGGGAATGAAATACAGGGGTAACTCGTGTGTGTGCAGTGGAACTCTTTGTCCAAAAATAACCACAGTATTGGCATTAAGTGTAGATTTCAAAAAGCTTTTGTAAGAACATAGAATAACTGATCCTTTTTCTTTTGATTTGAGGAACACTCAGTACAACATATTCATTAAGACTTCACAATGTAACATTTCATTCCCTTTGATGAGAAATTAAACAAATCTATTTCCAAAATATCTACTCAAAATCTGGTAACTAAGTAAAGCTTAAAATGTTAACAAAATATACGAAACAACGCCCTTGTCATAGAACCTCTCACAAAATCAGCCCTGAGGCTTAAGAAGCGATAATGAAGCACAGATTTATGCGAACAGAGAGCATCACACTGACAGGCAGATAGCTGAAACAGCCTCATTAGGAAAGACTTTCAAACTGCTGAATGAATGTTACTGAAGATGCCTATATTTATTTATGAAGTTGTCCATTATATGAGGATATTAAACAGGCAGCAGCTATCATTTTAAGACAGGCAAAAGGAAAACAATAAGCACAATGTAGCCAGAGTTAAGGAGTTAAGCACATACTTAGCTTATGCACTGAAAGCAATGAAATTTCCAGGTATGTTAATTTGACTGTATCATATACAGTATGGTAATAATTAAACAGCTCAATTAATATTTTATTTCTTAGGCAAATATAAGGACATAGTTTACTGGAAATTAAGTTTTACCTTTTCCTGAAAAACACTGCTGCATAATGAATTTTGTTCATTCTAAAAATATTTTGTATGGGACAGTTATTGTATTTATTAAAGTATTTTTGCACAGAAGTATTATTATAGCTTTATGTTTTGGGGGATATTTACAGTTAAAATAAAAGATACAGATTAACACAAATTAAACAGCTCCATCTGCCAACAATAGCTGCAATTCACAATCACTAAAATCAACAAAAAATGTTATTGATTTTCTTTGATATGAATTCCAGCCAAATTCAATGCAAAGCCTAAGGGTTTTGACGTATAGGATCTCTAGGTTATGTAAAACACTATGGGTGCACAGTAACATACTGCTTATGTTGAAGGAAGAAGATAGGACAGTGATTTTCCCAGGTTTCTTCCTCATGACTCCTCAAAATCCGTTCTAAAGGATTGCAGGACCCTTTGGAAGAGTGCATGGGATTTGCACTAGGGGCTGCAGAGGGAAAGGGAACTGGTAAAAATCATCACTCTGTCCCTTTTCTCCAGTGGGAGTCTGGATCCCGGTTGCCTCTGCAGACAGAAAGAACCCTTCCATTAGCAAAGTGACACATCTGGGTCGAGTGTTATGGGTATGGACCTCAGTTAAATTGAAGTATGACTAACTTTGTCTCAGATGGATTGTATCTACCCTGACAGCCTATGTCAATGTCTAAATATTAAGTATTTCTGAGGAGGCCCTTTGTACCCATGCCCTGGAACATGAAATGCCCCTCTTTTAAAGCACAGAAAACATACTGCTATATCAGATATTTGTAAACTGCGAAGAAAATAATTTCTTCCTCAAATGAAAAATAAAATCAGTGTCAGAAAAATAACTGCAGCATGTTAACTGAAACATTAATGATTGCATATTATAAGTTTTGTGTGTTGGTAATAAAATTGTACAATTCACTGTATTTGCAGGTCTCCACAAAATTTTAAGTTATATCTTTACCTTTTTACTAACCTGTAAGGCTATCTGGACGGGGTGGAACCATTCTTTCATAGATATCATACTGTTGCGCATATTGCTCAATGTCATGAAGTGTCTGTTGTAACGATGTTCCCAAATGCTGTGGAACTGCAGTCATCCCAGAACGCTTTGGTGATGAAGATCCAACTTGAGTTTGGGGTGGAGAGGCTACTCTTGTCTGTGTATCGTTTAGTGTAAGAGGTGAACCAACCCTGACTGAAGGCTGGTACTGGGGAGTCCCTCCATTGGGATTGGTTGATTGCCTAGATGTCACTGAACCAATTCGGCGCACTGCTATTGGTGAAGCAGGTCTTTGTGCAGTAAATGGAGAGGCTGCTCGTTGTACAGGTAATGTTGTGGATGAGAACACATTAGAATTAAGAGAGCGTGACTCAGTAACAGATGGTGAACCATAGCCACTCCCTAAAGAAGTTCTTAGTGAGCCCCTCGAAGGAGAAACTCCTGCAGTGGTTACATAAGAAGGAGACTGGGCCCTTGATGGAACAGAACTCACACGTCTCATGGCTCTGTTGGCAGCTATATTTGATGATGTCTGTTAAAAAGAAATAGTAACACAAAAAGTGATAATTAGAAATCTATGTGTAAAAATCAGGTTGCTCCCATATCTAATTCTTCACAGGATACATATGCACTATAGTTAAGCATGTAAGTGCCTACATGTAAGTGCCTTTAGTTTTGCTGCCTAAAGTTCCAGTCCTATTCACATACATATGGGATTAATTAAGTCCTACTGGTCTAAATGGCACACACTTCTGAGTAAACGTCAATAGGATTTATTTTCCTTGGATTGTACCTGAAGTATTGTAAAACTTTAGTCACCATTCACTCAAACATCTTGCCCAGGAAGGGCATATTAGTGACTGGTCCCCCATGTCCAAGTTGGCCTTCTTTAGGGGTGGTCTACTAACAGTCTCTTTTAGTGAGGCTGGAACCACTCCCTTTCTTAAGGACGCGTTCACAGCCTCCAGGACCCAGGGGCTCACCCCTTCCTTACCTTGAATGACCAGCCATGATGGGCAAGGGTTGAGCATACAAATAGTAGGCTAAATGAATCTAAGGACCTTGCCCACATTTTAGCATTTCTGTAACACAGTGAATTAATTTAATCATCACTGCAACTGAAGATACAAGGCAGATACAAGATACAAGTTTACAATCAACATATGGCAAATTTATACTGTTTTTACAATACAAGTCATCCTGGAATGTTGTAAGCCATTCCAAGACGTTCTGTAGGGATGGGATAGAAAAGCTTTTAATAAATTAATTAAATAAAGAATATTTCTCTTCAGAGCCTCTGCATATTTTATTGTTCGGTTGAATATTACAAATGCCACCATGGTCAGCTTTTTGAATACAAAGAAGCATTTCTTTATGGCAATGGAAGAGCAATGTTGTAATTTATTAGTGAACAAAGGGAAAAAGGAATTACAATTTAATTATGTTTACCTGAACCAAAGCTTGACCTTCAGCCCGTGAATTTCTCACTAAATGGTTATTATTTGGTCCAATAAATGGATGTTGCTGTCTGTTCTCCCCCTTTCCCAGATTCTGGCTGTTATGGAAATTGCCTACTTCCTGGTACCCACTGTCAGAATATGAATTCATCTGTGTTGAAGTTCTAGAGTTACCCACAGACCCTGTAAATAAAAAGCATGAAACTGTTGTTATTACAAGTTATGAAAAAAGTCACTGATTGATAAATTTCAGTGTATTTAACATTTATATAACAGACCCTCACTTTCATGGAGTGATGATTGCTCTGGTGAGTAGAGATTCCCTTGTTCTGGCTCTGTTCCAACATGATAGGAAGTAATATGAACACTTTCAGATGTTCTGAGTTTATTTACACCTGTGTTTGGCAAATCTGAAAGCAAAATTTCATTAGTCAAGAGGTTATCTACAACTGTATCTCTTCTCTATTTATGCATTAACAAATACAACATTGCTATAATTTCAAAATTTCTGTTGTATTCCATTCGATATAACAAAAAGTTTGATTATAGGATAAGATTTTATAAAAGGGAGCTATGTTACAGAAAATGTAATGTTAGTTTTGTGAAACTAACAATTTAATATATGAACATTCAAATCTTGGGGAGTGTGGGGAAGACCAATGTACAAAGTTGGTGTTTTCTTCCAATTTCAAATGTTCAGTAGTATATATTCCCAAACTAGGAAAATTCTGAAAAAATCACTGAAATTCTTTCAAGTGTAATATTAATTTTTATGTTTGAAAAATGAATGAATGAAAAAAATGAAAGAAACATTTGCTTCAAAGTCTTCTATAGTTTACCTTGGATCAAAAAACATGGCAGAAAAGACCCCAGAAAGAATCAAATTCACAATCAGTAACAGTTTCCCATATGATTAAACTTACCTTGTTGCCAAATCCAGACAATAACTTACTTTTAAGTAATAGCTATATTAACAAAACAACTAAAAAGATTTAAGGGTAAAATTCCATTTTCAGGAGAGGGCCTCAGCAGAATTAATAAGGTACTTAAAGAAGAACGTTAAAACTTGCGGAATGCCCTCTGCTTTCTCAGAACACTGTCTTTATCAAGACACTGGCTCATGCTACCATATTTTTCCAAAGCTGATGAATTTAGAGATGTTCATGTGTGTAAAACTACATCTCAGGAATTTAAATCTGTATAAATGCTTTACATTCTCTTTGGAACCTGGCAAGCATAAGGTTCTTAAATCTCCACAACACTGATGGAGGTCAGTTTAAACTAGAGGACTCTCAATAGATCTTGAGCTATCTCCTTGAACTACTAAAGGAATATAAAACAAAGAAGCTCTTTAAGGCTTAATTTCCATGATAATCTAGTCACAGAGGTTGTAAATGGATGTTTTCTAGATCTCTTGAATGGGGGAAAAATTGAAGGCTTCTGCACTAGGGAACCATGCAAATCTGTGAGAATGGAGCTTGAGATTAGGGGTGGACTATTTTGGTTGGCTTGAGTTTAGGGATAGTTTGTTATTTAGAGAGATTCTGTAACAGCACAGCTTGGCACAACTAACATTCGTAAGTTTGGGCATTGAGATCATTTAGACGAATAAGAAAAAAAATCCTAGCAAAGATTTCTTGTTCTGAATGAAGAATGCTAAGCTAGTAATCAACTCAGTTCCATGAAGATGTAATTTCTATCCAATCATACTAAAGAGACACACTAGAAGTATCATTATCATCTGAAAGGTCTGTGTAACAGCTGTGTAAAATGTAGGCCAATTAACACGATTTGATTTGTATCCCAGAGATCTGGAAGGCTAACTCCATTTCATGTTTCATTTGTCCGAATTGACAGCCCTCCCTGAAAATAAGGTACACTGTATGAGTTGTGCATGAACTCACTGTATGGGTTGTGCACTGGGGAACTAACAGATAATCAGGGTCACTGGAGTTTGACCTCCCTCCTTCCCCCTCAGACCTCCTGCAGGTATGTGAGGGGACCGCACAGCAGGACCTGTTGTGTCTCTTCTCCCCACTTCAACCTGTTTGGTAGTCACCACTGCTTATTTTCCCTTTTACCCTCCTCTTTTCCTTTCTGGAGATTGCTTTTTGTCAGCGCCAGTCCCTTACAAGTGTCCAAGTGGCACACTGAAGAGGATCACACTGATCCACCACTTTAAAAAAATGCACTCAACATTTGCCCAAATGTTATTTTTTAAAAAGTTTTGTCAGGTTTTGGGAGTTGTGCATACGTGCAGCTCCAACCATAGCAAATGCACAACCTTGACTTGTCAATGCCATTTATGGTGTCTCCTGTCAAAGTATAAGAGGAATCATCCATCACGAAGTGTGAACCCTCAAAACTGTGTTGTTGAAACTCAAGGTTGCTTTATCTAACATGATTTTTGACAGGGCTAATCAGAGCTTTTTTTGACAGGGGCATATGCAGATTACATCTGTAAACCAGAGAGCTCTGCTTTGACATAGTTCCTAAGCATTGCATACTTAGAAATGCATAGTTGCACTTCAAACATTGCAAGGCTGCTTTAATAGTCTTGGTAGATGATCTGCTTATTAAAGCTGAGAGTAGGCATACCTCCCTGGTGTACACTGAACTCTGAAGACTAGAACATAGACCGATTTCACTTGCTGGGTTCCAATTCTATTTGGGGCCCTCCAGATATAATAAGAGGGCTGCAGTTCAAAACCATCTAGAGGATCCAATGGTTCCTCACCCCAATCTAGATGAAATTACTAGGTGACATCATCCTGAACTTTGCAATTGAGTACCATCAATTTAGTGATTATAGCTCTCTATAAATTCTGGAATATGTCCTGGTCGAATGAGCTATTTGTTCATTAGATCAGGTTCATAGTCTGGGGATATATCTGGATCTGATATTGCAGCTGTAGTAGTGGTATCGTCTATCAGTTTCATACAGTGCATAGATTACACCCCTTCTGGAAGAAAGAGCTTTCCACTATCCATACCTTAGGAGGCTTTCAGTTTGACTTTTATACTGTATTTTATAAATGGCTACCCTTCAAGACCACTTAGAAGCTTCAACTGGTCAACTGCCCCCTACACGCTGCTTGGTAAATCACTGCTAGGGTCAGTCTGAACGTTTTCTGTGAAATGGCATGGCTTTGTAAAAGGGAGAAAAACAACCAGACATCCTACTGTACAAATCTTTGGGTGTGCCTAATGTGTGTGGGTGTTTGTTGGTTTTTTTTGGGGGGGGGCGGGATCACCCAAATGGAAAACTTTCAAATATTGCTTAATATTTACTTCTTAATATCTTCCAGAAGAAAGGATTTGAGAGAAAACGGTCAGTTCTTCTCATCAGATATAACCAGGGAATTATAGGGCTCTTCCAAGGGACTTGCTGAATCTTTAAATAGCAACAGCAGTAAGAGAAGTTTTGGCCCTTGCCTTTCCCGCAGCAAAAGTAAAGGACCTGCTTTTCTAACTCCAAATACAGGGCATGCAGCAGTCCAATAACTTTATACTTTGTATTAAAGAATGGAGATAATTATGATTGAATTGCCTAAATATATATCACATGCTGATTTGACAGATTTCAAAAACATAAGAAAATATTTTAGTGAAAAAACACTATCATCATGATTAAAAGAAGTGTGTATTATTGCTGCATAAACAGGAAAATTTGGGCTCATATTTCTAGTATAGCTGCCTTGCATAGATTACAAATTCCTGGGACCCTCAAACACAATTTGCAATGTGGCACATAGGACTGGATCCCCCTGCCCCCACAAAAAACAACGAACAATCAAGCAAAACCACTGTACATGCTTAAGCCTTTGAGCATGCCTACAATAACTCTTGATGTTGGCCCAGGAAGGACAAAAAAAACTCCCTCCAAAACAAAGGGGGGGGGGTCTCCTTGCTGTGTTGTTGGCTGTGTTTCATGTTTTGAAGATCTTGCAGAGGGCTCTGGTGTTCAGTTGCCACCCATGGACGCGAAGCTTTGTGTGGTTGAGGGTGTCTGCCAGTGTGTTGCTGGTGCCTGCAATCTGGATGGCCATGAGGGTGATGCCCCTGCTGATGCACCAATCCCAGATTCTTATGGTCAGTTGTATCAGTGGACCATGTGCTGCCCTGTTTGCCAAAGTAGAATACCACAGTGAAGTTGTCCGTGGCTATTTGGATGTGTTGCCTGGGTAGGGAAGTCGGGAAGGTGTTCAGGGCTTTGTAGATGGCTAACATCTCTCGGAAGTTGATATGTCTGCAGGTTTCTTGTTAGCTCCACAATCCCTATGTTCTTGGGTTCCTGCAGTATGCTCCCCATCGTGACATAGAGACTTCTGTGGTGTATGAACCTGATGCCAGGTTGATCCACCAGTGGAGACTGTTCCTGATGGAGGGGTGGACACGTCAAGGTGTGTCCTGGGTGGGTCATCCAATGAGTAGAATGGGTGGATGAACCACAGATAAATGCTTTGCGTATTCAGAGTCTTGTAAAGGAAACCACTGCCACTGTTGTGGCCGAGTCCAAACAGCCTTTTTATTACAACAGCCATGACGGTCAGTCAGGTGCTGAGTTTGGTGGCCACTTTGATCAAGACAGTTACTCTGGATGATGGGACAGCCTTTGCTGGGATACTTCGCTGAGGATACAAGGAGGGCCCCTGTGAAGAGGATGGAGCAGGAGGGGGAGAGAATGGGTATTTCATGATTTATACACAGTCATTGGGTCTGCAGGAAGAAGCAAGTGGTGTGGATGGAGTGGAGTAAGTCTGTCTTAGATGATGCTACTAGAAGCTAATCATCAAGAGGTGGGAAGACTTGTACTCCCTGGAGGAGTGTGAGCAGACCACCGCCATGCATTTAGTGAAGATGCTGGCAGACACTGAGAATGAAAAAGGCAGCTGTTCTTGGTGCACATTTCAAGTCCAGAAACACTTGGACTCTTCAAAGGAAAACGAGCAGCAACTCTGGGAAACAGGGTCTCCAGACATTGAGATGAAAGAGGCAGGGCAGTTTATCTCAAGGCTGTCCCTTCCAGGTGTTCAGATTTCTGAACTGATGGTGTCATGGATCGCATTTGAGAAGATCTGGCTGGTATTGTGGTCTCATAGAGGCATCACTGGGAGGTGCATCATTATGGAGAAGAGAAGATCTGCATCTAAACACTTGCTGATTCTGGTTCCTGGTGTATAATCTTGGATGCCATCCCAATACTGAGACTCATGTGGGATGTTTGGGAGTTCCTTTGAGATTGACACAGGGCTGGTGACCAGTCAGAGATCTGGTCCCATTCTGGCAGTGGGGACAATGATCTCTGTGCCCTTGTGGATTCAAAGGTGTTGGTGTTGGGTTTGGGGAGGCATGTGTGGATTGCTGTGATGCTCATGCTTCAGATAGTGGTTGGGCTAGAGGCCTGGGAGGGTAATCCCTTATCCCTCCACCTCAGATACTGATGTTGCCAGGGCCAGTCTTCTCTCAGTAACATTGGCTGTGGCTCCTCAAGGACTGGCTCTAGCAGATCTTTCTGAGTCAAGGATTAGCAAGGGCTCACATGGTGCCTGCACATTTCTTTTGCAGCGGCCATCTTTTTTTTAATGCGCTTGGCTATCTTCCCAGCATGCAATACTCCATGGAGCTGCAGGGTGTTGGAGGAGCAGACTGCTAGAGGTTTCCGTGTTAGGGCCGGTTAGGGTTATTGAGTTCAAGGTGGACTGCTGGTTGCGTCCCGCTTGTTTGGTGGAGTTAGGCTTTATTACCTCAGAGCCAGATAATTGGCTAACCATTTTCCTTTCTCTTTTTTCTCTACCTGTTTCTCTCTCTCTTCCTTCCCACTTGGCAGCTGTCAGTAAAAGAACAAATCACTCTGGCCAGAGACATAAACTAATTTTATGCAGAGGGGCACTGTCATTAGGCCAAGGTCCATGCAGCTTTAACACTATAGATTGTCCAGTCCTGTTCTAGATCATAAGATGTGCATATGTGAAGAGGACTCTATTCCATAAAGGTTTATGTCCTAAATAAATTTGTTAATCTTTAAGATAAAACAAGATTTATTGTTGTTTTGATCCTCTAGGAATGCAATTAGGAGACCACTGTATTAAAACAGAGCTGGGCAGTCACAGACTTGTGGGATCTACGTCTCCCTTCATTTTAACCCTAAGTCGACTTGCTGCAGCCAGATGCTCAGGAAGGCGGACCCCAAATAGCACAACAAAGTACCACTGAAAAGTACCTCTGAATGTGTTTGCAGTACCAGAACTGCAGCACTCTACACATACTTCAAATGATAGCACCATAACAGATTATTTGAAAAAAAGGTATAATTCTGATACATATAGCAATAACAATTATATACTTGCATACACATTATAAACTGTAATGCCGTGTACACAGAAACCTGGAATGCATGTCATGATAAAGCAAGGTTGTAGAAAATCTTGGGTTTACTGGGATTGAGCAAGCCCAACTGCTCTCTCTTGGCTTCCCCAGCCAATGGGTATGGCTAAACAAACCATGGTCCCTCTGTCCATGATTTGTTCATTGTGATATTCAAAGCAGAAATTCTGTCAGAGCTATAAGCTGTCTGTTTTGTCATTGGGTTGTGATATTAGCTTGTTTAGTGAGCAACGAGACAGAATCCACAGGATGGACCAGGATGGTCCATAGTTTGTTTAGGCATACCTGCTGCCAAAAAGAGCTGACGGCAGTCAAAAAAGAACTGAGGGGATGGGTGGGAACCCCTCCTATGGCCTCCTGGGAACAGGTAGGGAAAGGGCTCCTGCCCACAACTTCAAACGATCAGCTGTAGAAGCTTTTCCTGATTCTAGGCTCTGTACAAATGTGAAAGCCCCATATGTGTTATGCACAGAGACCACAAAGAACAACCCTGGCTTCTTGTAATTTGTAGACTGGTACATAGGTAAATAGAGATCTAAAAATCAGCACATAGGACATGTAGCTTCTTTCCTATATATCTCTTCAAGTTAGAAGGGAAGTATATATTAGCATACTAGAAGCACAACAACAGTTATAGTTACTTAAACAGAGTATATAATTACAATTCATGTGTTGCTAATATATCTTTAAAAAATTTTTTAAAACATTTCTGCAAAATATACTTTTAAAAATTTGAAGTATTTTATTCTCTTCCTCAAAAAGAATCTTCATGTGGATAAAACATATGCAAGCATTTCACATTAAATGCAACATACATCAGCTAACAGAATTACATATTTTTTTTGCAATGTGCAATGTTTCAGAAGGTGCACCATATATACAAAATAACGATACCTGCAGATCTCCAAGGAAATGATTTCTCAGTAGAGCTAGAGAAAATGAAACAAACAAACAAACTTTAATTCCTTTCCAATACTGCTTTCCTTTCATTACACAGAGTATGATCAGTGCTCACAAGATTGGAAGGCTCTCAAGTAGGCATTCTCTGTACACTGATAAATACTTCAAGGCAGGCAAGAAATGAGGAGCGATGTCTCTCTGTGCTTCCCATATCAACATTAAGAAGGAAGTAACAAATATAAAATATTTTTCTAGTTAGGCATTTTTATTGATTTTGACTATATTTAAGGTAAATTGCATCAATATTTTGAGACATTTAAATAAATTAAAAAGCTGCTTACTTTCCTCTCGCATACTGAATAATGAAGTATACTAAATTTTTTCCTGCATGAAAGATTTAAATTTATGTAAACTTGTTTACCCTTTGTAACAGTAGCCCTAGTAACTACTCTCTCTCCTTTAGTTTTAATATGAAAACAAAACAAGTACAGATGCTATTATAAGGCTAGGAATGTTACAATGCATCACTCCAGAATATAAATTGTGCAGATGTAGGAATAAGAGTTGAGTGTGCATTAGTGTACGTAGTAAGTGGATACCACACTTCTATGGATAATCTTGGTTTTCCAGTCCTTTTATAAGTCTCAACCTGTTTAGCTTTTCAGGAAGAGCAATGTTCCGTATTACACTCATCTATTTTTGTATCAATGGCCTGTTAGAAGATTTTCAATTTAATACAATTTAATGCAATCGAAAGATGGGCAACTGCAAGTGTAACAACAATCAAGTATTAATGTAAAAAGTGTTCAATCTCATCTTTGCTGTTCACTGATTTTGCATATTGTAGAAAGAACTTGGTTGCAAAAGTCTACAACAGCTGAAAGCCTACTACATACTTTCTCTAGATGCATTAACAAACCAATGTGAGCATATACTTTCCAGCACAATGTGAAACAAATTAATTAAAATTGTGTATGAATTGCCACTGGTGAACTACAGTCATTGCAGGGGCCCTGTCCCTGCTGTCCCAAGGAGGGGAAGGGATGCCAGAGTCAGGACCACTGGTGTTCTGTGAGCATTGTGTTCAGATCTGCTTCCCATACTAATTTTAGCCCTGATGAGACAGAGCAATCATTTATATAGTATGCAGACTAGACCTTTCATAAAGCTACTCTGGGGTAAGCATCCATTTTCAAAGATGGTTAGCACTCAAGGAATAATTTCTTCTAGTAATACCTAGTGTTTTAGCAAAATTAATTATTTGGTGTTTTTGTATCTGGGAACCCTTCACCCCTTATAGGTTGTTCTCTGGTTCTCCGAAAAATCATAGAATAGTAGAGTTGGAAGGGGCCAATAAGGCCATTGGGTTCAAGCCCCTGCTATCGCAGGACACCAATTTACACCTTCCCACTCAGATGACTGACAGCAAGGAAACTTTCCCTGAGGAAGGGGAAGGAAGATGGGCTGTTCACTTATACTCAAGTCTCTGTCATGGAAATATCCCTCTCCCTCCAAACCAGGAAGTATATTTGTTTGCCTAGTCCTACAAACTTAGGTTGGTTTAAAACTGAGCATGGGCAGAGGGAGGGCTTTACTGTTGCTATGCAAATATTAAGAGTCTTTATGCCAAAATGGGAGAGTTTTAGAACCTGGTGATGGAGAAGTTAGATATAAACAGAAACCTGTTCAAGCAGAGGTACTCAATGGGATAGGATCATCTCTGGATATAAACTGGAAGAAAAGAGAAGGGTATACCAGAGGAGGTGTTGCTCTGTACATTAAGGAGGGCAAAGAGTCCAACAAACTGAAAGTGTGAAGACTGCTCCACAAAAGCACCATGGGTGAAAATTTCTGACTCTAAAACTAACTTAGTCATATGACTGTGCTATTGCCCTCCCGATCAGAATGCTCAGGGTGATCTTGAGATGGGGAATGAAATCAAGGAGGCCCCCAAGAAACACAATGATGTTATACTGGGTGATGTCAACTACCTACATACTGGTTAAGTGTATGTCCAGTTCTGACAGAAAGGTTAAATTTCTTGATGTCCTAAAATGACTGTGCCCTAGAACATGTGGCCATGGAATCAACTGGTGGGGAGGCAATCCTGCATTTAAGTCCTAGGTGAGGTTGGTTAGGACATGGTAGGACTTAGTGAAGCCAACAGGAAACCACAATAGAATCAGATTTAATATACAGTTTGGTGGAAGAATGCTAAAGGGTTCAAACATAGTTGCATTTGATTTCAGAAGAGGAAACTTCTCAAAAATGATGGAACTGGTAAAAAATAAGAAGAATAGGAGAATCAAGAAGTATAAAGCACTTGGAAAGTCCTCAACAAACACTATTGATACAGGCATACCGCATGTGAGGAAAAGTAGCACAAAGCCCAAGAAATCAACAGCATGGTCAATACATAGAGCCAGGGAAGCTATTAGGGGGAAAGAAAACTTCCTTCAAAAAATGGAAGTCTTGCCCAAATTGGGGGAGGTGGGGGGACAAGGGACAGAAGGGACTACAAGCTTGTGCAAGGGTCATGCAAGCAGACAATAAGAGAAGCAAGGGAATAGTTTAAGCAGTATATTGCTAACAACAAAGACAACAATAAATATTTAAATATATTAGAGAAATATATTAAAAGAAAGCAGCTAAAAAAGCAGTTGGACCATTGCATGATAATGGAATTAAAAGAGCACTAATGCAGGAAAGGGAGATTGTAGAGAAGCTGAATGAACTTTTTTCATTAGTCTTCACAAAAGAAGATGCAGAGTAGATATTTGTTCCTGAGAGTATGTATTCTTGAAAGAAGATGGAGGAAGTAAGGCAGACATCAGTGACAAAAGACAAAACCAAATCTCTCTGGCAAACTCCCCTATGGAAGGGGATTCTAAGCAGCTACTAGCCTTGCTGCCTATGTGCTGCCTCCTTTACCAGAGGTGGCATGCCTGCATGCACCAGTTGCTGAGGAGCTTGGACAGGTGGAGATCTTGCATCCATCCTGCTTGAAAGATCCTGTAGGCAGCTGGTTTGCCACTGTGTGAATGGAGTGCTGAACTGGATGGACCTTTCATCTGATCCAGCATGGTTTTTCTTATATTCTTATGTTTACAAAGACTAACATCTTAAAAATACATTATAAAGTATATACTTACAAACATATACAAATACAACACAGAGACATGCACACAGATATAACATCAGATATGATGTTGTTTGCAAAATGACATCTAGAAAGTCATGGATGACCATTGCCATTATTTCTTCAGGGTCATTGCACTTGTTCCAAGCAGGGCTGACTTGGTAGTGATAATGGACATGAAGCCTGTTAGCCTCAAAAGCGAGTTAAGCAAACTTAAATGCTTTTTATGTCTACCACCTTGCAGAGTTGCTGCATCTGTGATGTTTAAGACTATCAGGATCTTGCTACTGTGAGAGACCAAGGGAAAGCATGCTCCACATCTCACATGGGATCTATATAAGGCCGTAGTAGTTTCAACTTGTAAAGCAAGTTTCTGAAATATCTTGCACTTTCATGCCTTATGTTCCAGTGACCTGATTCTGTTTAGGACCTGCATAGCTTAAGGCTTCTGGGGATATCTTGGAAAGTGGATTATAAAGTCCCTACACTAGCCTGAGGAATTAGGGTGAAGTTCTAGAGCCCAATGAGTTTGCTCAGTGACAGAACTCTCAAATGCAAATCTGGAAAAATTTCAACAAACCAGACCACATGAAATGTGATCCTATTGCTTTTTCTTTATATTCCTGAACATCACAGACATGCAGATGTAACCCCCACTATAGTTCTTTAGTTCCTCCAGCTTGGTTTGGAGGACTTGAGTGAAGTTTGTGAGTTTGCTTATTTGGAATTTGCTTATTTGGAAAAGTTATTTCAGTCCATTGTTTGGCTGCCTCTCATCCTTGCCTTTGGTATTTTTTTCTGCTTTTGAGAAATGAAGTGTCATGCCTGTAACAATGGCATAGGTCCCTTGGGTCTGAGGATTAAAGCAATTTTGAGGGTAGAAATAATGCTGTGAGAAGTGAATCAAGAGATGAATTGAGATGCCATTTCTTTCCCTGATTCCAGGTTTTTAATGAGGGATGCTGAGTAATACAGTGCAGTGAAAAAAATTAAAGGACCGGTGGGCAGGAAAGTTAAAGGTTTAGGTATCTATTTTGCATCTTGGTTGCATACTAGGCACCCATTTCTGCTCTCTTACCACTCTCATGTCATAATTCTGCCCATTTCAAAGTAACATTTATATGTTTAGATATTGTGATATGTCAATTGTTATATTAATTTACATAATTTGACAGTTTCCAAGTGAGTACAAGAAAATATTTTAGCACCACACTAAACTGTTATGCTATACATTTCAATATGTTTAATAGTAACTTTCCATAAGATGTTAAGGGCATAAGGGCAGAATGAACAGTGATCTAATTTCTATAACTGCTTTAGGAGTCTAGCACACGTATAAAAATAGCTTTGGGTTTTCTCATTTCATTCTAATTCTGTTCAACATGTGTAGCCTGACTTAAAGTGTATATTTACTACTAATGTTGTTATCCCAATCACATTATGTAGACGTTCTGCCACCAAAATCATTAAAACTTTATACCAAGGAATATGTTTAGAGTGAGCCACTAAAAAGATACTTTAAAACTACTTATTGTTCCAGATCTAGATGAACATAATTACCACTGGCTTGTCTATACTGGATTTTGTCATATATACATCTTATCTGCCAACAGAAAAACACGCCCCAGTCCTCACTAAACGATAATGTTCCGAGAAGGAAAAAGAAATTAGATGACTGGAGTAAACCAAAGCAGGTGGAGGGAATTTCTGTCAGAAAGAATGGATGAATTACTTCTGCTGGATGTGCTCTAAATAATGCAGAACCCCTAGCAAAATAATGGGCTGGATTCAGTCTGGTGCTCAGCAGAATTCTGTTTTCACTAGAGCAAATCTGTGCCATAAAGAGCATTTTGCCAAGATTTTACTGATTTTTCCCTCTGCAGTTGCTCT